CAGGATTAAAGATTAATAGAAATAAGACAAAATTACTGACTAAAAATCTAACAGAGAATCAGAGGAAAGAATTAGAAAAAACCATGGGGATACAGGCAACAAAAAAGGTCAAATATTTAGGCATATGGTTAACACTACATAGTAAATCGCTCAAAGAGAATAATTATGATAAACTATTACAGCAAATTAAGAAAGACCTAGAATCTTGGAATAAGTTGCAGCTTTCTCTACTGGGCAGGATTGCCACAATCAAAATGAACATCTTACCAAAACTCCTTTACTTATTCCAGACAATCCCAATTAAATTACCAAAAAATTTTTTTGAAGATATAAATAAGGTAACTCTTAAATTTATTTGGCAAGGGAAAAAAGCTAGAATCAATATTAAGGCTTTACAAGATGCAAAAAGTAGAGGTGGGCTAGCGCTCCCAAACTGGGAATTATATTATTGGGCAGCCAACTTATTATGGTTAAAAGACTGGGTCAATTTACTCAATAAAAGAACTTTAGCTTTGGAAGGGCACGATCTTCAGAGAGGATGGCACGCATTTCTATGGGATGTGGGGAAAACTAAACAGTCGTATTTTCATAGATACCTTATTAGAGATTCATTATTAACTAATTGGAAAAAAATATGCAAAAAACATTATTCAAAAATTCCGATTTGGCTTTCAACAATGGAGGCAATGGTTCATCCCAACAATTTGGATATAACAAAAACGACTAAATATAAAGATTTATTAGACCCTTTAGGAAAATTAAGAACTCGACAGGACTTACAGGAACAGGGATTTAAAATTGACCAGTGTTTATATATACAAATCCATAGCAGATACAAACAAGATATCAAAGAGTTTGGAATCTATAGCAAATTAAAATATTTAGATAAAATCTTATTAGGATCAAATAAAAAGAATATCTCCAAATTTTATAAATATTTATTGGAGGTAGAATTAGAGCAAGAGATAGTGAAAGGGAACATGATAACGTGGAGTAGGAATATTGGAAGAAGCATTACATTAATAGAATGGGAAAAGATCTGGAATAGAAACATCAAGATTACGAAATCCGCGGCGTACAAAGAAAATATGTATAAAATGTTATATAGATGGCAATTACCCCCTTCGAGGTTGGCGAAGATGAACCCTAACATGAGCTCAAGGTGTTGGAAATGCAAAAGCACTGAAGGAACATTTTTCCACACGTGGTGGTCTTGTAAAACTACCCAAAAATTTTGGCAAAAAATTAGAAAATGGTTGGAGGAGATAACTAAAGAACAAATAGACTATAAACCAGAGTTCTTCCTGTTAGGGATCTCTGATAGATATTTATCCAAAAAGACCAAATATGTAATAATCCATATTCTAACCGCAGCTAGATTAGCCTTTGCTCAATGTTGGAAATTACCTCATACACCTTCAGAGCAAATGGTTATTCAGAAAATTTGTGAGTGTGCCGAAATGGATAAATTAATGATAGCATTAAAAAACAAAGAGTCCTCAACATTTTACGACAACTGGGACTCATGGTATAATTGGCTTACACAGAGACAAATTATGTAAATGATAAAAAGTAACCTAAACATAACGGAAAAGAGAAGTAGATTGGATATGATGAAGAGAAATGATCCTTACAGACTGTCACAAAAAGATATCATTCGTTTTTAATTGTGTTTCTACCCTATTCCCCCTCCCCTTCCCTTCCCTTCTCTCCCTCTATATCCTTTCTCTTTCCCCCAACCAGCCTTTATCCGGTGTGCTAGGCCGGGTGTTTTCCTTCTTTCCCCCTACCCGTCTTTCTTTCTACTTTGTAAATGTATTGTCGATGTGTTTTTAAATTGTAAATTTAATAAAATCTATTTAATAAAAAAAAAGGAATATAAATCCTTCCATTCCCCCACCATCCAGTCAGAGCTGAAGAGGTGAAACGTCTTCAAAGAAAAACAAGAAAATCTAGTTGCCTCTTGGGGGTGGGGGGAAATGCACCTTTGGGACAACCATGGCCTGGATGACTGAGAATCTCCATAGACAGCTAACAGATTTTGCATACCTTGAAGTTGTCTTTGGATAGTGTCAAAAGACATCTTACCAATATAGATGTGTGGGTGGCTGAAGCTGTCTGATGTATGGGCTGAGAATGAAACAAAGGCAGGGGTGGGATTCTACCAGTTGACACCTATTTGCTAGAACCGGTTGTTAACATTCTAAGCAGTTCGGAGAACCAGTTGTTAGAAGAAATTACTGGCCTAATCCTGTAAGGAAGGCAGGAAGGAAACATTCTGGTGTTGCTTACAGAAACTGCCTCTCCGTTAACCCTTATTACATTCTTGGCAGGACTAGACTTCCTATCTTTGGAACTTCTCTGGAGTTTTTTTCCCCCTCCTTTGCTGGTACTTTGCTTGTGTGGAGTAACCATTCAAAGTTACAATGGCACTGAAAAAAGTGACTTATGACCATTTTTCACACTTACGACTATTGCAGCATCCCCACAGTCACGAGAGGCCAGGCAAAGAGATGCATGCCTCGATGTGAGTGATGTTGAGTTGGCCACGCCCACCAATAACATGACCACCAAGCCATGTCCACCCAGTCACATGACCACCAAGCCATGCCCACCAACTAAGCCATGCCCATAGAACCAGTTGTTAAAAAATGTGAATCCCACCCCTGGGCAAAGGCAACATCAGGGGGACATAATAGAGGGAAAGAGATTCCCAGGCATGTCTGTGCCATGGTTGGTAATCGGTGGGTTTTTATTATTTTTTGGTGCTTTCAAGTGATTGTTGAGTCCTGATTCCTGTTGACTTAAATTAAAACATTTCTTTTTCTGGAAGAAATAACTATTTTTGGAGGGGGAGAGGGGTTGACTAATGTTCCATTGGACAGGTAGTTTTCTGTTTTCTTTTTCTAGACTCTGGTGGCTTTATGATCAACCTAGGTATTGCATTAGTCCATCTCCTTTGTACAATAGTATATTTCTATCACAGTTAAGCATGAAAGGAACACAGCTTCACTGAGCTACTTTGTATTTTTCTGGTTTTGAAATCACATTATTTCCAAAATAAACTTGCAAAAGGTTTACTAAGAAAGCCACAACTCTTTAAATAAGCGTTTGTATGTCTGTTTTCTCCTCTTCTTTTTTCAGGACCAAGGGTAGGCTCCCCCACTACCCATGGCTTATTGGCTAAACTTAGCTGACCAGTGGCTTGTTGAAGAAATCTTGCCAATTGAACCTGAAGAAGAAAAGGGCCCAGCGTGTTTTGTCGTGCAAAGCACTTGGCTTCCTTCTCTGCTGTTGCTTTTTAAAAGTGAGGAACAACACACCCATCTTCCTCGTGCTTTTGAAAAAGAAGCGCACTTCTCCAGCTATTCAGCAAACAAACAAACAAACAGGATTTAGCTCCTAAAGAGAAGAGGCACCTCGAGAATTCCCTCCGTCTTACTTGGGCGCATTTCACCCCAAAATCAAAACTTTTTCTTCGCGTCCGATTCTCTTCTCTGCAGTTTTCGTGGTCCCCTGAAGGACCAGGTGGCAAAACTTTTCAGAAGTATTAAAAAAAGAAAGTATTCCAAATGAAAGCTACCCTTCGCCTAAATGGCAGAAACCGGCTCCTAAAACTCTTCAACACAAAACGCAGCTACTGAGACGTCGCAGGCTGAGGGGAGGACAAGTTTTACACCGAAGAAAAAAACCCAGATCGCTGGAGATATTTTTCCATCCGGCGTTTACTGCAAAGCCAGACTGCGCCCACCCCCGTTCGCCCTCAAAGTGGATGCGCTTCCTTTCCAAGAAGGAGGCTCCCTCGCCCATTTCCCCACCCCAGATGTTGATGCAGGACAATTCCCGGCATGCTTTCCCACTGGAGCTGCTGGGAACTGTAGTTCGCCAACATCTGGAAACCCAAACGGCCCCTGTTGCTTTCCAGATGCGCCCTGCAGTCCGGCTCGGGAGAGAGCAGATGCTTCATCTTCTTCCCAGAAATCACGGCGCGTTCTGGACCCGCCGACCCAGAATCTCCCTCTTCCTCCTCCTCCTGCCCTCCTCTTCACCCCACCCCTCCAGTCCTTCCTCGGACGGACAGAAGGGGGTTTGAAGGAGCCGCCCCTTGACGCCATCGCTCCGCGCCGGCTATCCCAGGATTTGGGGCGGGTGGGGAGGTTGTGGTTCGCAAGGAGGAGACGGCATAAGGTGAGTCGGAGCAGACAGGCAGACGCCTCTTTCTGGATACAGGATACTTTTGAGCATATGGAGAGGACTTGGTGACTGTCTCTGGTGAGGGAGTGAAAGGAACGAAGAGGTGGGTCCAACAGATCAGCTTCTACCCTGGAAGCAGCCTTGGTCACAGTTTCCATCCTTGGGACAGGGATGCTTCAGGTCCCACCTGCTCTTCCGGGTCCATCTTTCTCTTAGATCTTGGGAATATCACGACTAGACCAGAAGAGCCAAGGAGCTGCCTACACAGTTCCTCCTCTAGATCCTAGGTAAAGGCTAATATTTGGAATAGACTCTCCTGCTCCAGCAGAGGGTTGGATTAGATGACCCCCAAGTTCCCTTCCAACTCTGTTATTCTTGTCTGATCTACGTGAGATATTAATTAGTTAAGATCACACCTGGAATACTGCATCCAGTTATGGTCACCACGCTACAAAAAAAGATGTTGAGACTCTGGAAATAATGCAGAGAAGAGCAACCAAGCTGATTAGGGGACTGGAGGTTAAAACATATGAAGAATGGTTGCAGGAAATGGGCATGGCTAGTCTCGTGGAGAGAAGGACCAGGGAAGATATGATCCCCTGACATGATCTTCCAATATTTGAGGGGCTGTCACAGAGAGGAAGGGAGTCAAGCTATTTTCCAAAGCATCTGAAGGCCAGACAAGAAATAATGGATGGAAGCTGAGGAGAGATTCAAACTGGAAATAAGGAGAAATTTTCTGACAGTGAGAACAATCAACCAATTGAACAGAAGTTGCTTTCTGAAGTTGTGGGAGCTTCATCACTGGAGGCTTTCAAGAAGAGATTGGACTATCATCTGTCAGAAATGGTGTTGATCTCCTGCTTGGGGGTGGGTAGATTAGATGACCTACAAAATCTTTTCCAACTCTGTTATTCTTTTATTCTTCTTCTGTTATTATTATCTCTTTCTTTCTTCTCCTAGCAGAAAGATGGCACCTTCCTTTGGGTTGTGTCACTCCTGACTTCTTGCCCTTGCTAATCATGGGTCCGAAAGCCAAGGCCCAGCCTTTGATAGAAGAAACCCCGGTCAGGGTAGCCGTGCGCATTCGGCCGTTGTTGCCCAAGGAACAGTTACATGGGCACCAGATCTGCCTCCAGGGAGACCCTGAGAAGAAGGAAGTGACTTTGGGCCACATTCGACATTTCCAGTTTGACACAATCTTCACTGAAATCTCAGACCAGGGGTCTGTGTATGCCACTTGTATCCAACCACTGGTGGACGCATTCCTGGAAGGCTTTAATGTCACTGTCTTTGCTTATGGTCAGACAGGCTCGGGGAAGACCTACACCATTGGAGAAGCACGTGTCTGTAAGTTCCCTGGTTTTCTTGCACAAATGAAGTCTGTTGTGGCCTGCTGGTGGCTGGCGGAGCTGGCAGCAGAGTTGGTACAGTAGTGAGGAGGTTGGGGAGGAAACTGGGCCAGTCCAGGGGACTGAGGAAGGCTTGGACAAGGGCTCTGTGTCAGAGGCAGAGATGGACCAAGGCAGGCAGGCAGGCAGTCATCAGCTGCCTTCGGGCTCAGATAGTAGTGAGGCTGGGGAGCAGTTGGAACTGTTCCCAGCCTGCGCATGCGCAGAGCTGTTAAAAGAAAGGAACAATTAAGAACTCAGGGTTGACATGGGAGCAAGGCCACAGGTGGACAATGAATGGCCCCTCGCATCAGGATTAAAAGAGGAGCAAAAGGGGAGGGGCTTTTGCAGGAAACAACTCGCTCGTTCGGTCGTTTGTTTGTTCCAGCCGCATGGAGATTTATTTGTAAGCCCAGCCTTCCCTGCCAACAGCAAGTGTGGAACTGTTTACTGGACAATGTTCAAGGATTGATAAAGATCTGAGATCATTAGTCTACCTTTGTGAGACTGTTTGCCAAGCTGTTGGCTGACTGTGAATGAAATAATTCACATTACTGTAAATAAAGAGGTTTTTGCCGGGACTCAGAATTGACATTGTTTTTTGGTGAGGCCTAGGGCAGAACTAGGTCCTTTAAAGCAGGAGTCTCCAACTTTGGCAACTTTAAGCCTTGTGGACTTCGACTCCCAGCAAAACTGGCTGAAGAATTCTGGGAGTTGAAGTCCACAAGTCTTAAACTTGCTAAGGTTGGAGACCCCTGCTTTAAAGTCTCTCTTACTTTAGCAGCATGAATACAGGTAGTCTGCGACTTAAGACCACAAGGAGCTTAAAATTTCTGTTGCTAAGTAAGGCGTTTCTTAAGTTGAATTTTGCTTCCTTTTAAGAACTTTCTTGGCACAGTGGTTAAGTAAATCACTGCACTTGTTAAGCTAGTAATGCTGTCATTCATCTGGCTTCCCCATTGACTTGGCTTTTCAGAAGGCTGAAAAAGTTGATCACATGACCCTGTGACACTGCAATGATCGTAAACGTGAATCAGCTGCCAAGTGTCTGAATTTTGATTTTTAATCCTGTGACCATGGGGATGCTGCAAGGATCAGAAGTATAGAAAAAAGTCATGAGTCACTTTTTTCAATGCCGTTGTAAATTTGAATGGTCACTAAACAAACTGTTGTAAGTCAAGGGCTTATCGCAAAGGTGCTTTTTCAAGAGGCAACTGGACTTTATTTTTTCTTTGAAGACATTTTGCTTCCAATCCAAGAAGCTTCGTCAGCTCTTAACAACTGAAAAACCAGAAAGTCCAGTTGCCTCTTGAAAAACCATCTTTGAGACAATCTTCCTTCCCTTTCCCTTCCTTCCTTCCTTCCTTCCTTCCTTCCTTCCTTCCTTCCTTCCTTCCTTCCTTCCTTCCTTCCTTCCTTCCTTCCTTTCTTCCTTCCCACTTTGCAATAACACTTAGACTTCTATGCCACTTCACAGTGCTTTACAGCCCTCTCTAAACGGTTTACAGAGTCAGCTTCTTACCCCTAACAATCTGGGTCCTCATTTTACCCACCTCGGAAGGATGGAAGGTTGAGTCAACCTTGAACCATTCAGGATCAAATTGCTGGCAGTCAGCAGAGTTAGCATACAATGCTCCATCACAGCTCTTCCTTCCTTCCTTCCTTCCTTCCTTCCTTCCTTCCTTCCTTCCTTCCTTCCTTCCCTCCCTCCCTCCCTCCCTCCCTCCCTCTAGTTTGTTGAAAAAAACCTGAAAACATTCTTGTTTTATTATTAATTCACAACATATATTCTGTGCAATGCACTTTCTTCAAAGTGTTGCCACTTTAGGAGGTCTACCTTTGGTGGAAATGTGAGCGTGTGTGTCAGTGGCATCAGACCATTTCCCTTTGGGGGGGTGGGTTTGCAACCTCCCTGCAGCCAGTGCCACTAATAACTTCATTTCTCCCATCCAGCTTCCATCAATGAAGATGAGCAGGGCATCATCCCTCGGGCCATGGCTGAGGCCTTCAAGTTGATGGATGAGAACGATCTGCTCAACTACACTGTCCGTGTCTCTTACCTGGAAGTGTACAAGGAGGAGTTCCGCGACTTGTTGCAAGTGGACACGGCCAGCAAAGACATCCAGATATGGGAAGATGACAGGGGGAATACAGGTATAAGCCAAAGAACTCTTCTCTTCGCTGCCCCTTCCTCCATAAGGAACCCCTTAGGACATGCGTTTTTCTTCCTTTGTAATAAGAGTTGGATAGCACAGTTTGTTGCTCAAAGTTTGGGGCCAGAGAAGTAGTTTTCAACATCTGTCCCTTGCTAGGCATTCAATTGTTCAGTAAGATTTTTGAAAGCTGATTTGGCTATTCTCCCCCTCTTTTTTGTTATTGTCCTCTATATGTTGTTACTATGGTTGGTTGCACAGTCAGCCAGATGTTTTAGATTGGTTTGGCACTTTTATCCACCTTTGGAGTCTTTCCCAAGGACCAGGGATAGCAGATGTTGCGGTTTGCTGGTGTTAAGGGTATCGTCACAGGATGTAAGCTGTTCTAAGTAAAGCTGCCTTTTGCAATTGATGGAAGGTGATTCTGTCAATGCTGACGGTGTTTTAAGTGGTTCTGCGGTTATTTTGGGATTGCACATTAAGACAGCTTGTTATTATCCACTTCTTTCAATTATTGTCCCTCTGTTTTTAAATCATAGCTGCCAGAATACCCTGTTTCTCCAACAATACAGCCTCCCCCAATAGGAAGTCCCAGCATGTTTTATAGGCATGAAATAGGCCCCTCCCCCCAAATTAAGGCCTATATTAAAACATGCAAAATGGGGGGGGAAATGGCGGGGGGGCTTGCTGTTAGGAAGTACTTTTGTTGCACACCGGATATGGTGCTGCCTGTGTTGACCCTGATACAAAGTGCCCCACCAACACTGAGGTCAACATCCAAGCCATCTCCGCCCGCCCTAAGATGCAAGGTGGGGGAATTAAGTCACCCCCGAAAAGACGGCCTAGCCGTTTTTTCGGGGCTCAAAATAAAATAAGATCTGGCATTATTATATGAGAAACATGGTAGTATATAAAATTCTGGGAAAGATTGCCTGCTTTGTTTTAGTACATCAACAATGTTGCTTCTCTTTTCTAATTTTATTGTTTCCTTAGCACAAAGATGTGTTGTGAAACTATATGTCACAGTACCATTTTTGCAGTGATTTACCCTAATATAAAATTGATGAATCACAGACAAAGCTAAAGCAGCCATTGAGTAAAGGCAGAGAAGTTTTGAATCCACACCCTGCTATGTAATCTAGAGCAGGGCTGTCAACCCCCCCACCCCATCACCTGCTGGCCACGCCCACGTTTGGTTTAGTGAAGAGGAAAAAAGTCCCTATATGTCACATGACATGGATCCCCTTGGAGGGGCGGAGGGGGGTTAAAGTGACATTGTGTTAACCCCTTGTTGTGCTTTGTTTATTGTCAAGATCAGGTTACTTCTGCACCTGGTTGAGAGGGCGTCTCCAACTGGGACGGATGGTGATTTAGTTTAGTTTACTTTATTGTCATTGCACCTCCTACAACAAAATCAAACACCATCTTCAGTGCACATCATGACCATGAAAATGAACACAAACACACATCCTTCACCCTTCACACATTGAACTGGAAACCCCTGACACCACACCAACACTGCACTATACAGCAGAATTCAAAAGAGCTACTGCCTTGGGATAGAAGCTGTTTTTCAGCCTATTTGTCCTTGTTTTCATTATCCTGTACCGTCTGCCAGATGGTAATAGTTCAAAAAAAGGCTGCCCAGGATGAGATGGTTCTTTGAGGATGTTCTGAACTTTCTTAAGGCAGCAGGAGCTATAAAGCTCTTCCAAAGAGGGGAGAGGGCAACCCATGATCCTCTGGGCAATGATGTTAACCCTCTGGAGTGCTTTCCTATCTGCCACTGTGCAATTGGCAAACCATACAGAGGTACAGTATGTTAAAATGCTCTCTAAGGTGCAGCGGTAGAAGGTCACCAGAAGTTTTTCATTCAGTTGTTTTCTGAGAAGTCTCAGGTAGTATAATCTCTGCTGGACCCTTTTGACCGGGGCTGCAATGTGGGCATGTGATGCAAATGAGGGATGCCAGGGGTAGATTTGTAGTTTTTACTTATTGCAAGGAAACCCGGAACTTTCATATTCGGGATTTCCCAGATGGGCCAGTTTACTACTCTAATAAAAGAAACTTTGGAGAGGATGTCTGGCTCAGAGTTATTTGTTGGAGTGGAGGTTTTCTGGAAACCTTACAAGAGGTTTGGCAACCCCGTTCTAGAGCGACATCTCCTTGTATCAACTGTGGTCGTTGTTAGCTATGGCTCAACCATCTTGGCTGGGTTTTTACCAGCTTCCCTTCTCATGTTGATCTAGGATGAAGATTGTTTGTTTTGAATCGCCTTTTATGAGAAGTTAACAGGGTGTATCTCTGAATCCACGATTAGACAAAGCACGGTTTCTTACAACAAGGGAGCCCAGTCTCTTTCCTTCCTTCTCTTGCTGCAGTGCTGCACGGGGTGAAAGAAACAGAAGTGGAAGGTCTGGATGAGGTTCTGAGCCTGCTGGAAATGGGCAACGCAGCCAAGCACATGGGAAGCACCCACCTCAACAGGAGGTCCAGTCGTTCCCACACCGTCTTCACTGTGACCATGGCACGAAGGCAAAACAGCAACTGCCTCACTCGCTTTGCCTGCCCAGGGAAGACTTTGGTGGCGCCGACCGCTGGGCAGGTTCTGAAGTCCAAGTTTCAATTTGTGGATCTGGCCGGTTCTGAGCGGGTGGTGAAGTTGGGGTGTACTGGGGAGAGGCTAAAGGAGAGCATCCAGATCAACGCCAGCCTCTTGGCCTTGGGCAATGTCATTAGTGCTCTTGGAGACCCCCGCCGGAAAAGCAGCCACATCCCGTATCGGGATTCCAAAATCACCAGGTAGTCTCCTTCTGATTCCTCATCGTTAGGAAGTATCTTATCCTCTTATCTGCTTTGCTGAAGCAATGGTTGCAGTGGTGGGATTCAATTTTTTTTACTACCAGTTCTGTGGGTGTGGCTTGGTGGCCATGGTATGGCTTGGTGGCCATGGCAGGGGAAGGATACTGCAAAATCCCCATTCCCTCCCAACCTAATAACCTGCTTTCGAGCTACGTTCTCCTATACAGGGCAACCAAAGAAGACCCAGCCAATCAGCTGGGACTCTGGAGTCAGAGAATGGATGGGGTTGGCGGGGCCAGTCAGGCGGTATTTGCCGGTTCTCCAAACTACTGCAACCGGTTCTCCAGAACCAGTCAGAACCTGCTGAATACCATCTCGGGATGATTGTATTCAAATCAAATCTAAATCAAATCAAGTTTATTACAGTCAGAGACCAGAACAAATACTTTTTCTTAGTATTTAATGGGCCTCACAAGTTTATGGATGGTTATTATAGTATAGTTAGGCCACGTGTAACTGACAGACTGGATTTTAATTTTAATATCTGTTATTTATTCTTTTATTCTATAATTTTTAACAGGATAATCCCTGAGTGTTTTTATTTGTTCCGGTCTCTGACTGTAATAATAAACCTGACTACAATTGTGCCCTAAATTTCGGTTGTTAAGTGAGTTTTTGCCCTGTTTGCACCCTTTCTGCCATAGTTTAAGGAATCATGGCAGTTTTTTAGTCAGTAACGTGGTTGTTAAGTGAATCTGGCTTCCCCATTGACAAAAGGTCATCACATGACCCCGGGACACTGCAACTGCCGTAACTATGAGTCAGTAACCAGCATCTGGATTTTGATCATGTAACCATGGGAAAGCCGTAACAGTCGTAAGTGAAAAAACGATCATAAGTCAATTTTTTCAGTGCTGTTGCAGCTTTGAACAATCGCTAAACTAACTGTTGTAAGTCGAGGATCACTTGTAGCCATTGATCAACTGGCCATTTCCATCCTCTCCATGGTTCTTATGGAACTCCAAGGAATTTTGCTGATTCAACAAGCCAGTAAAAACACTGATCCATCTGATCTTTTAAATTAACCTTCTCAAAAGATCTGTGTCCAAATGGCCTTCAAGAAGAATAGTTTTCAAGACTCTCTCGAAGGCCAGGAGGCTGGAAATGTTCCTTATCTCAGGAAGCAGGCAGCCCCCCCCACCAAATGGTACTACCTTAATTTTAAATCCAACCTTAAAGCTTTCTTTTAAAAAAATCCCTCCCTTGGAATTGTCCTTTGTTATCTCCCTTCATTCCATTTTAAGCCGAAATGGATGATACAGCTCAGCGTTGGGAAATACTTTGGCTGGGTGAGGTTAGCACATGCTAAATCATCATGGACTTAACAGGGACATTGGATAAATTGCAGCAGGCTGGGTTCAAACAGCATGCAGAATCACAAATCTTGATTTTTTTACGCTTTGCTGGCTGGCCTTGCAGAACATAAAAGCTGGTGGTAGTTTGGAAGCTTAGGTTTGTGGCACATCATGAGAACACAGACAACTGTACTAGTCAGCAAAAAATATTTAAACAACTGATAGTTTAAATTCAGGGCCAGGACTCTACAATGCTGATAGGTTATTTTTTCCTTCTTCCTGAAATAAAATTGATTTCAAGCTAAGAAACCACGTAAATAATGGACTTCAATGCCACTGTTATTTTCATGTACAGACTCCGATAGGTTTTCCTTCCTGAGAGCTATTTATGACCCAAAACAAAAACTGGATCGCACTGTTCCTTCTTTAAGTGTGATTCCACCCACTCTGCTTCAGTCTTGCTAATATGACATCCTGCTCTGGTTTCAGAATCTTAAAAGGCTCCTTAGGTGGGAACGCCAAAACCGTGATGATTGCCTGCGTCAGCCCTTCCTCCTCCGACTTTGACAAGAGTCTGACCACTCTGAATTATGCCAGATGGGCTCAGAATATCAAAAATTGGGCCGTGGTGAATTGTAGCAAGGAGGTGGAGCCCGTAGAAGCCCTGCAGCTGCGTATCAAGAAGCTTCAGAGGGCCTTGGAACAGAGACACCGCTCAGAGACTCGCATCATCCGCCGATCGGAGGTACCCATCAAGGGTCACTTGGAGGAAAGCATGGCTCACTTACGAGCTGAATGCAACCACTACCAGACTCGCACAGATGCCGCCTATCAGCTCTTGATGGAACTGCAAGGGGAGGGCAAATTGACAGAGGAACAGGGGCTCCGGGTGAAGGACTGGCTGTGTGCAGTGGAAAATGGGGCAGGCGAGCTGAGTTTGACCTCCGGCGTAGACAGCAGGATTGGAAGCACTTCAGCTGAGGAACAGCACTCCAAAACCTCCATTTCCAAGCTAGTCAAGACTCAGGTACTGTGGTAGAACCCCCAACTGAAGGATGGTGTGCCCATTTGGGGAGGAAAGAGACATTGGAGTTGGTTCAAGGGAGGAAACATCAGAGATCAAAATGTTAGGTCCACACCTGCTGTTTCCCAGGGGAAGGCAGACTTCCCTTGGCAAGATTCTTGTAATATAGGTGATCAATAATATACTATCTACTGGGGTCTGTCCATGTGTGGTTCTGGTTGCTTGCACTTGATTGGTACAATAATAGGAAAAGAGCACTTGGAATGCCCTGTGTTTGGGTCAGTGGTGCAGAAAAGAAAGGGAGAAGATTTCATCATCTACAAATGGCGTTGATATGTTGCCAGTTAAGAAAAAGTCTGTAGGAAACTTAAAAGAAGCTTACTGTTGTTGTAAACCACCCAGAAACACTTAGATGAGATGGGCAGTTTAGCAATTTAATAACTATATAAATTAAAAATGAAAGGTTAATACTGTTTTGTCAATAACCTGAGATAATTGTAGACTATGAAAAATGAAAGGGCATGCTTTGAAAATTGTTTTGGATCTTTGACTAAATGTTAGTCAAATAAACACACTGGCTGCTTTTCTTATATAAGAAAAGATAAATTATGGTGATAGAACCACCAACTGAAGGGGAGGATTCCCATTTGAGGGTGGTAAGAGACATTAGTTCAAGGGAGGTCAAACTGTTAGGTATATATCTATATCTTTATATTTCTATATATATCTTTATATTTCATTTGAGGTCAAACTGTTAGGTATATATCTATATCTTTATATTTCTATATCGTTAAAAACCAGCCACAATTGGTTGGTTGCCTGTGCTTATTTGTAAAACACTCTGGTTTATATTTATTTATTTTTACATCTCCATCTCCATCTCCACAACCATCCATCCATCCATCCATCTATCTATCTTAAAGATAAGCAGCCAGCGACCGGCCAATTGTGGCTGGTTTTGAAAGAGCTGCTAGAGACTATTATGCTTGTGAAGTCTTTAGAAGAGACATGATTGATGATTTTGGATGTTATTTTTTTGTGCTCTTGGGGATCATTCAAGGTGGGGGTGTAATTAAATAGCCTTCCTTGGGGTACAAGACATGGAGCTGTTTCTGCCAACAGCATTTCATGGGATGATGCTGAGAGTGGATTATGAGAATGTTCTGCTCCTTCTTTGATCTGGGTGGGGAGATGATCCAAGAACCTTCTGAAGATCCCATGAAGATCCCTCCTTTCCCTCTTCTTTTCCCAGGAGGGGCATCAACAAGGACCCGAGACAGTGGGACAGGAGGAAGTGGTGAGGCTGGAGGAGCAAGTAGAGCGCTTAGAGAAGGAGAACCAAGATTTCTTGGCAGCTCTTGAGGATGCTATGGAGCAGTACAAAGCACAGGTATCTCCTTCTTAGGTTGGCAAGCTTCTCCTCCCTCAGCTTGCCATCCACTGATTAAAAAAAGTCATTCATCTTTGCAGTCAGATTCACTTTCTCCACTTTGGTCTCCTTGAGAGCTCATCTTCTTTCAGCTTGCATTTGGAAGAAGGAAGCCACCCATCTTTGGAATTTGGGTCAATAGCTCCATTCTCTTACAGACCTGCCTTTGTGGTACTTGCCTTGCTACATCTTAATCCCAACGTTTCTCTGAATGCCCACTCAAACAGTCAATGGGCATAGGCAGAAGATCTGCAACAGAGCATTTGTGTCCAAGTCTATATCACTCATGTAGTTCTTCGGAAGCCATTTTCTTCCTTGAAATGCTAGGACTGCAAGTCTGGGAATTCCTTCTTTGAAAACATGGGAGAGATTTGAAGTGTTCTTATCCCAGCACATCTGGAAGATGTTGGACAGAGGTATAAATAAGGGCAGGAGGTCAGGGAAACCCAGGAAAATAAAATATTTCAAACAGCTTTGGAAGCTAGCTGAAGATGATGCCATGATGTCAAAGGTGAAGCCAAAATTATTGGGGTTTGATCATTATTTTTCCCCTTCCTACTAGTTTTGATAGATGTATGGATTATACATAGAGTTATGTTAGTGGTTTAATAGAATAAACAGAATACTGGTGTTGAAAGAGAACTTGGAAACTTCTAGTTCAACTCCATGCTCAAGCAGGAGTCCATATAGAATTTCGGATGAATGGTTGTCTAATCTTTTCTTTAAAATCTCCAATGCTGGGAAATCCACTGTTCCACTGATTAATTGTTCTCCCTGCCAGGAAATTTCTCCTTATTTCTAGGTTGATTCTTGCCTTGATTAGTTTCCATCTGTTGCTTTTTGTCCTGCCTTCAGGTGCTTTGGAGAATAGCTTGACCCCTTTTAAAAACAAGACAAGAAACCATATTGTTGAAAATGCATAGTTTAGTCACTTTGCTGAAGGAGGAGAAACCAGGCAGTGGGAACAATAAAGAACTGGGGTGCCCATGGCCCTGACGTTACCAGCCATGCTTTCAAACAACCACATTTGGTCTCACGTTATTTTCTTTTCAGGGTGCCAAATTGCAAGAACAGGAAGACATCATCTCTGAACTTCAGAAGTACCTAAAGATGGAGATGCCCCATTTGGGCATGCCTGAACTGCTAGGAAATGTCTCCCTGGTGCAGTTGGACCAAAGGCCACACACAGCTCCTGTGGATGCATACCAGTCCCATCACTGGCTCAAGCTTGCCTGTAATAACCATAGGAAGGTTTGTGAGTTGTTTCATCACCCTATAAAAACAGGAGTTATGTTCTTGTTAGGTCTGGATTGGAGACCACCCAGAGGCTATGTCTCCCTTCTTACCCCCCACCCCAACCCTCATCCAATTAAATAAACTCACTTTTAGAAGAGGTTCTGAATTAACATTTTTGCATACACTTGTGAAATCTCTCAAAAGGATGCCCAAATCTTGTGATGCTTCAGGAATTTGGAAGCTACTGTGCAAGATCACACAACATCTTGGTGGAAAAGAAAGGATGATAGCTCCTTCTTGAAAGTTTTTATTTTATGTATTTGATTTCCATAGCCATCCAACTCAACCAACTGACTTTGGGTGGCTTAGAATTCTAAAAATCATAAAACAATGAAAGCAATTTTAAAAACATTAACCTAAAAACACCCACAAAATAAATAAGTATAAATGGCAGCCATGATAATTAATCAACTAATTGTAAAGCCAATTCACAGGGCCCTTAACATATTCTGAGACCCAGCCTGGTTGCGTATCTTTCTCCACTGAAAACATTTTTCCTTACAGTAGGGTAAGCAGTTTGAGCATCAGTTTATTGGGCATTGCATGAATTAATGAAAAATAAAAGTAAGAACATAATGAGGTGCCAGTGAGGCATGTTGACTGTATTCCCATTATATATTTAACTTAGCAATAGTTTCCTCAATTCATCCAATTTTGGGGGTTCATGTGAGATACCGAACCATAACCTAATGACATGACCTTGTCTTGAGCAACTTATTGGTCAGAAAATGAGATCGGCTAGCAAGTGCTGTAATTTATGCTGTAATAAGTTATCTTCCTCCCCTGGAAGTAGATAAAGAAAACAAAGAAAAGATAATTAAAATTCAATCTAAGTAGCTATAAGTAACCACAAACCTTCTTGGGGCAAATAGCTTAGAGCTGTAAGCAAATTCTTAGAATCATCCTACAGCCCTTTCCTCATTGCACACTTTCCTTTAAGTAGCTCCACAGTGTCACAGTTCACAATGGAGAAGACTCACTGGGACAAAGTCACAGTCTCGCTGGAGATAACATGTACAGTCTAGGGACAAAGGATATATCACAAATGAAAACACTGGATAACGTTTTGGATTCATCTTTGGAAGATGAGAATAGATGTTGGCCAATCTGGTCCCTTCAGCAATATAGGTGAGGCATGAGTGAAATATTACATCTTTTTGTAGATTTGTAGAGTCTGGTGATATCCACAATGTTTCGAATATGTTTTTCTTAAAATAGGAAGCATCTGTATTGAATTCAAAATGGTTGCTTCAAGTTTGAAACATTGATTCCACTGAAATCCTCTACTTGATTCTAGATACAGATTTGATTTTTCTGAATTTTTTTTAAAAGAAGGAAATTTTCTGCAAGCATCTGTTTTAGCCCCATCGTCAGCCTGATCAGCCAATCTAATTTGATTGGACTTTCAATCAAATTGCCTTCTTATTGAAAGTCCAAATCCAAGCTGTAAATTGCATCTACAAAGGATGATGCTTGAGTCTCTTGGATTAAGAGACCTAGAATTTTTTGCCTTAGCACCACATTTAATCCAGTCACAGAAATTTACTAGTCTTTTATCTCCCATATTTGTTATATAACACCTTCAGTTATCTCATGGAAATATGCAAGTGTAAGTTGATTTAATTTAGCCAGTTTCAAAGGATTTGCAGTTTTGTTCCTTGTCTCTTCTGCTTTATTGGTGGCCATGTTTTTATTAAACCCAACAACTGGGTGTTCTTGTAGGAACAGAACCCATAGCTGGAGCAAAGAGGAGGTTTCAACCAAGAAGAATAAAAAATACAACTCAAAATCCCCAGAGGGAGTCCAGAAGAAATCTTTGGAGCTACCTAAAGGTACGGCATACTTTCAGCCAAGCAAAGAACACCCAGAAACAATTATTCTGCTTTCCCAACGCTGAGAACAAAAATGTTATTTCAGACACTCCTCTCTTTCTACAAGTGCTGAATATTCACCAAAGAAAAATGTGAAGAAAACTGTAGAGTTGGAAAGAGCCATTGGGTTGGCCCTGCCTGCTTCATGTAAGAATCCAAATTCAAGCAGCTTTGAGAGAGAGCTGCTCCATCCACAGAAAAGAGAGCCCACCATCTCCCTCTGTCGTTGATTCCATTGATGAATAGTTGTTTTTGTTCAGAGTCTTTTCTTAACACTCTAGTGTGGTATTTCCCAACTGTGGCAGTTTTAAGATGAGTGGATTTAAACTTCTACAGTTCCCCAGCCAGCAAGGAATTCTGGAAGTTGAAGTCCACTCATCTTAAAACTGTCAAGGTTGAGAGATACTTCTGTATCAGAATCAGTGGTTCTGAATTGAAATGAAGTCTTGATTGTCTTTGTACCATTGGTTCCATCCCTTATTGTGATAAAATTTATACCAAACACCTCTCATTTACATTTTCTTTCCCAGATGGTAGGCAACAAGAGCTGAGCAGTCCAGCAGGGAGCTTTCCAGGCAAGGATTCAGAATGGCAGCTCCTTCAGGCCCACCAGAAGATCCGTGAGCTGGCTATCAACATCCGTATGAAAGAGGACCTGATAGTAGAGCTTATTAAAACAGGTATGGAGCTGTTGAACTGTTGTTGAACTTGTCATCTGTCTAACAATAGCTTATCCAGAATTGTTAATTCTTTATTTATACCCTATGTTTTTCTATCTTGATTATATTTGTAAAAAAGACCACCATTCTATATTTACCCTTTGTGCTACTAGTTCTAATCTAATTTTCAGTACTCCTTGCTCATTCAGTATATCTCTATAAGTTACTATTATCTCCAAATTTATCAAGTTTGGATGTATAAATGCCATTCTTTATGGCCTCTACAACAATCCTATCTCCCCTGGTCATCTGTTTCTCTTCTTCACTGCAGGTAGAAAGGGCTAGAAAAAATTTCTCTTGGAACATGAGACTTTGCCTCTTTCTTCTTCTTTGTTTGCTGTATCTTTCAGCACAATTCTTCCTCTTCTTTCTAATTCCAACTTTTCTGCTCAGGAGGTAACTTGGTGGGCAGACCTTCTTCTATGTCACAGGAGTCTGTTTGTTTCAGGCAAGCATGCTCAGGCCATGAACAAACAGTACCAGCAGAAGATTCAACATTTGGAGCAGGAAGCCGAGCAGGTGCGGATGGAGCTGAATGACGGCCAGAGGCAGTTGCAAGAGCTGGAAGGCAAAGAGCCTCGTGACCCTGCCGAAAAGTGGAAACTCCAGGAATATCGCAGCAAAGTGGAAGCTGCTCAGAGCAAGGCAAAGGTAGCCTAGAAAAGGAGGAGGTTCGCATAGATCCTGAAGCCAAAAGGGCCTAGATTGTTTAGCAAAGCCCTACACCCCCCCCAACTGTTAAGGGATGCAGTGGCTCAGTGGCTAAGATGCTGAGTTGTCGATCAGAAAGATCGACAGTTTTGGTGGTTCGAATCCCTAGCGCCCTGTAATGGAGGGAGCTCCCGTTACTTCTCCCAGCTTCTGCCAACCTAGCAGTTCGAAAGCACGTAAAAAATGCAAGTAGAAAAATAGGAACCACTTGGGTGGGAAGGTAACAGTGTTCCGTGCGTCTTCAGCATTAGTCATGCCGGCCACATAACCACAGAGACATCTTCGGACAGTGCTGGCCCTTTGTAACAGAGATGAGCACTGTCTCCTAGAGCTGGAAATGACTAGCATGGATGTGTGAGGGGAACCTTTACCTTTACCCCACACTGTAAACCAGGCTTGTCCAACCTTTCACCTTCCCTGGGCCACATTAGAAGGTGAAAATTTGGTTTGGGCCGCACATAAAATAAAATAACAGTAACGATACCTGATCATCCAAAAAAACTATAGAAAACATTTTTTTCATAAGATATCATAAAAAATAGTCAACCAGGGAGAAAAGAACGCAGTGGGGGGGGGGAGAAAGCTCGCCCGCCTCGCGCCTACCTCTCCTCCTGCAAATGGCCCGGCTGGATGCGGCAGGACTGGAAGGTGAGGACCGGGAGGCTCGGTGCAGCAGCAGCAGCAGTGGCGGCAGCGGCGAGGGCAGAAGCCGCTACAACAGCTCCGCCGGCGGCAGCAGCGGCAGTGGCAACAGCAGGAGGTGGCGGAGCGGGACTCTTGGGCTGCGTCTGCCTCAGCACAAGGAGCGCTCTGACGGCACCTGCCTTTTCTGTTGCTGCTTGGCATGGTGCTCGCCTCGCCCCACCTCGCGCCTGCCTCTCCTCCTCCTCGCTGGCTCATCCTCTTGCACGAAGGTTGGGGTGGGCACTGGGCCGCATTACGAGCCGACCTGGGCCGCATGCGGCCCGCGACCTGCGGGTTGGACAAGCCTGCTATAAACTGTGTTATGGCATAGTGTAATCTGTGTGACACCAACTATTTATAAATGTAGAATAGTTTAATTATTTTAGTTTAGCATGTTAAAGGCACCCAGGCATTGTAACTTGCAATCATATGTGCCAGCGCAAATCAAACTTGTTTTTTGGCCAAGACTGAGTCATTTTGAATTTTTACATTTAAATGTGGCATGCAAATTCTAGGCCATAGATTATGCATTTCCCTGCCTGATGCTGGAAACATCTGGAGGCTTAGACTTAGAAGGAAGAGCAGCCAAGTACAGGTGGTCCTTGACTTATAACCACAACTGAACCCAACATTTATGTTGCTAAGTGAAACATTGGTTAAGTGACTTTTGCCCCATTTTATGACCTTTCCTGCCTCAAGTAAAACATTGCAGTTGTTAAATTGATAGAATGGTCGTTGAGTGAATCTGGCTTCCCCATTGACTTCGTTGGTCAGAAGGTCACAGAAGTTGATCACATCAGTTGTGGGATTCAAATGTTTTTACTACCGGTTCTGTGGGTGTGGTTTGGTGGGTGTGGCAGGGCTTGGTGAGAGTGGTTTGGTGGGCATGACAGGAGAAGGATACTGCAAAATCTCCATTCCCTCCCCACCCTACTAACCTGCTTTCCAGCTCCATTCTACTGTGCAGGGCAACCAAAGGAGACCCAGCCAATCAGCTGGGACTCAAGAGAAGAGATGGGGCCAGGGCCAGTCAGAGGTAGTATTTGCCGGTTCTCCGAACTACTCAAAATTTCTGCTGCTGGTTCTCTAGAACTGGTGAGAACCTGCTGAATACTACCTCTGGATCACATGAGCCCTGGACACTGCAACTGTCATAAATATGAGACAGTTCCCCAGTGGCTGAATTTTGATCACATGACCAGTGGGATGTTGCAAATGATGTAAGTGTGAAAATTGGTCATAAGTCACTTTTTTCAGTGCAGTTGTAACTTTGAATATTCACAAAATGACTTGTAAGTGAAGGACTACCTGTAACTAGGACATGGTTCCATTGTCCCTAAACATTGTCGGAGCTGCATGTGTGGTCCCAGCATCTGCTATCCTCCCTGTATCATCTCTGTTGGGACAGATCCTTCAGGAGAAGAAACGGGCAACAGAGAGATTGGCATCCTTCTCTGCTCAAAACGAGAAACGCCTGCTGGAGCTAGAGAGGAACGTGCAGCTGATGCGGCAGCAGCAAGGGCAGCTCCAGAAGCGTTTGCGGGAAGAAGTGGAGCAGAAGCGACGTCTGGAAACCGAGATGCAGAAGAGACAGCATCGGGTCAAGGTAGAGATGGCTGGGCTCCAGCAGCATCCCAGCGAGAAAAGATGGTGAAGGGCAGAGCTTGTCTATCATGTTTGAATTGTATTTGTTTTATTAGCAATAGCACTTAGACTTATATAGCACTTCACAGAGCTTTTACAGCCCTCTCTAAGTGGTTTACAGAGTCAGGCTCTTGCCCCCAACAATCTGGCTCCTCATTTTACCGATCTCAGAAGGATGGAAGGCTGAGCCGGTCAGAATTGCTGGTAGTCAGCAGAATTAGCCTGCAATACTGCATTCTAACCACTAAGCCATCACGGCCCTTCCTTCCTTCCTTCCTTCCTTCCTTCCTTCCTTCCTTCCTTCCCTCTCTATTCAGAGTTTTTCAGTGTAAATTCAGCGCCAGAAAAGTAAACACAGATGGCTGATGCTTCATTTAACGTCTTTATAAACACAAAGTAAATTTTACAATACCAATTGTAGATTTCTCCAACATGGAGCAAACTCAAACAGAAGCAGACATGTTACAGGTTCAAAGCAGAGCAGCAAATAGACTTCAGCAGAGAAGCAAACAAGTTAGTTTCTCTTTCACTTTAGAGCTGAACATAGATCAGAGATAAACCACACCCAGATTCTCTCTAAGTTTCAGCCCTCAACTCAGCTCTCATTGGGTGACCTTGTTACTAAGCTCTATTCCAGTTCATGAATATACTCTGACACCCCCTCCCTCCCTCCCACTTTAGCAATAGCATTTAGAAATATACTGCTTTACAGTGCCTATTGCCCCCAACAATCTGGGTCCTCATTTTACCCACGTCAGAAGGATGGAAGGCTGAGTCAACGTTGAGCCCGTCAGGATCGAACTGCCAAAGTGCTGGTAGCTAGCATCAGCAGAAGTAGTTTGCAGCACTACTGCATTCTAACCACTGCACTATCACGACTCTTAGGGGCCAAGGCAGGGGGAGATATTATTATATGCACAGTCACAACAGTGTGAAGTCACAGCTGCCAGTTCTTTGGCTGGTGTTGGCCCTCATATGAATCACATTCTTCCCAATCTAGGATGTCATAATGGATTGGTATAGTATATAGCAATAGCATTTAGGCTTATATATCACTCCATTGCACTTTGCAGCATTCTCTGGGTGGTTTACAAGGCAGAAGAATTATTTGCATATTGCCCCCACAATCTGGGTCCTCATGTTACCAATCTCAGAAAGTTGATAAGCTGAGTAAACTGAATTAACCTTGAGCCTCCAGGCTGTGAGCAGAGTTAGCCAGCAATACTGCATTTTAACCACTGCGCCGCCAGCATTCTTCTATGTGCAGATACAAGCAATGGAGTCTTTTGTAATTGTAGTTGGTAAATTCTGAGATCCAAACACTTACAGGGCATCCAGGTTGGCAAATACATTTGAGCACAGAATCTTTTAAACTGGGAACCACTAAGTTTCTGGCATTTGAAAACCACAATTATCATTCATGATGGGTACAGCAGACACAGCTGGGTTTCTTTCTGAGACCAGGACTAGAAAATTAATGTTTCTCACTTTGAAATACTGATCAATTTCAGTAGTCATGGTTGGAATAGAATAGAATAGAATAGAATAGAATAGAATAGAATAGAATAGAATAGAATAGAATAGAATA